GAGGAAGCAGAGTAAGCAGTTATCACTGTAGCACATTCACATACACAAAACATCTTAGAGGCATAAATCTAATCAGTGTTTGCTTTGTTCCTCCACAGATTTCTTACCCATCGTCCTTGGGATATCAGGAGCTATTTTGTTTTTGCTTCTAGTGCTAGCTGTTGTATGCATTGTCACAAAGTGAGTACACCTGCAGCAAAACACTGGTAGCCTAAAAAATGCCTGAGACTAGGCTGTGTTAGTTAGAAAGAAATCTCTGTCTGTGTGTCTGGTTTTTTGTTTGTTTGTTTGTTTGTTCGTTTCTTTGGCTGCAAACTCCTTCTAGACCATCAGGAGTTGAGCAGCCAAACTTAGCATACAGGTGCATCTTCAGCCGCTGAAGGTTCTTATCTACATCAGATTTTACACAGTTATCATGTTGCCTAGAAACCATCTTGCAAAATGGCTAAAAGTACTACTTTTTTTTTGCAATTATGCAAAAAACACATCATAAAAGCATTATATCACTTTTATTTCATAACAGTAACATGTCATTTAAATCCACAAAAGCTGAATTATGCATGGCCATCCTGTTGCCTGGCAACCACCAAGCAATTGTCTAAAATGGCTAAATTTTTTTCTTTTGCATAAACCACATCCACTACCCCAATTTTTTTGTTCTACTTTTTCTCATTGTGATTAAATTTATCAGTAACGATGTACTTAATCTCAGAGTAGATACTGAGCCATACTTAAAATTACCTAGTTTTTCATCCTTTTTTTATCTACTTTATATTTTCTTTATATATTTTTTAAAGTTGTTTTTGCCCAAATTAGAACACAAACCACTTTTAATACCAACTTTTATTTTTGCAGTCATGACATATTAGTGTAAAATAAATATGAACAATGCAGCTGCTGTAAGATAAACCATTGATTTGCTGTTTCTGCTGATATATACACACAGTTAAGTCCAAAGTATAGGAAACACATTTTATAATTTTGCCTCTGTGCAAAACCAGTGAATTTAAGTTTAAACAAACAAACAAAAAAATTTACAGACATTTTTATGCTTAGTCTCTCATAGTGGCATTATTAGACCATAAACCTTTGGTTTGTCTTCATCTTTTCAAACAGGAAAAAGAAAAATCAAAAAAGGAACAGGGGATCGTCCATATACATGCCCAAAGGGAATATCTTCCGGCCATCTGACATGCACTTCACCAAAACGAGATCTGAAAATGAATCTCACGTCTATGACTCCATAGATGAAACGATGGTCTATGGCCATCTGCTGAGTAACTCCAGCCATGGCGAGGCGTTTCCAGACCAGTATAACGGCATTCAGACAGACACCTACCGCACTTTCACAGGCCCCGCTGATGGAGCGCTGCCTGTCATTAAAGAACCAGATCCACAGCCCGGGGACAAAATGTTTATGGATCCCTCTGAGACTTTCATACCATCCCGTCCACGTACTCCCATCAACCGACAGGACAGCCTCGGCTTCCAGGACCGCAGGATGATTGACAATGAGCTATACACATTCAAGACCACAGGGGACATAAACACCATCCGACTCTCTGCTGCTGATATGGAGCCCATACCGGATGACTATTTGTAGTGTGTCAGGACCACAGCCATTCAATGAACTGCTATTACAAAATCCTCCTTACAGCACCAAGTATCTGTCAAGGGGTACTCATGCACGTGTCTGTGCTGTGACTATACTCAGGGAGTCTGAGCTTATATGTCTAAGCGGTATTTGGTAGAACTCAGTCTGCTCTAGAGATCCAAGAGTGAAAGCAGTGAGCCCTGTTTTTAAAAGTCTGGAAAATAACGTCCCTGGGATACAAAGAGTGCATGTACAAAAGCTTTTCCTTTATGCTTGTGCAACGTTTCATAACATTGTGGTCTCACTAATGGCTCAGACATAAGGAACACATCTGGCTCGACCCATCGCAGCTCTAGACAAATGCAGTCAGTAGAGAAAAGCAAAAAGTATACTTACTGCAGTGTTGAGGCAGCCATGAACCTCAGTGTGAAAGCACACGATTGGCTCATGTAGTTCCAACATGAGCTGTTGATTGGCTCTTTTTTTTTTTTTTTTAGCTGCTTTATGTAATTGTCCCATAGCTTTTTATTAAGGATCCTTGATCCCAGAGATATGGCTCACAATCTTTTCATCTTACTCCCAGACAGAAAAAGCAGCAACTACTATTTCTTGAATGTTTGTTTGGTTTTTTTTTTTTTAAACTTGTTTAAAGTATGGAAAATGGAAAATTATCCGTTATTGTTGTTTGTAAATGTTTTTTATCTTGTTGACTAGTATTTTTTTATTTTATTTTTTTAAGATTTGCCTTTTCTTAGCCTGTACATACCAGAATTGTTTTGTTTTTGTTTTGACTTTCAATAAATTGTCAGTGTATGATGGGGAAGCGGTGTAGCCTTACGTGACCTTACGGCCATCATTACCTCATCTGAAGTGATGTTTCATTTTCCCTCTTGTGCTTAAACATGGGCTTCTTTGCATGCTGGACACTTTAAAAAAAGCTGTTTCAGCCGCAGGAACTCCAACTATAAAAACAGTGTGAGGAGGGGGAGGGTGTGGAAGAACTGCTGAAGATTCGCAGCTACTGTTTACCAAGGAGCATAGCGGAAATAACAAATGCAGAGGCCAGGTTTATGTGACATTTCTAAACTGCAGACGATTTTTAAATAAAGTCTGCACATCTTCTGACTTGCAAGTTTTGTAGAATTAATCTTCAAATTTTTTTTGTGGAAAGCAAATTTCTGAAAAACAGGAAAAAGCAAAACAGGGATAGACATTGTAGTTTATTGATGGTAATTTTACAGGTCGCAGGCTACAAGACTAGCAAACTGGAACGAGTGAAGACTGAGTTATTATAAAAATTAAAAAGTTATATCAGTCATAATTATGGCTTTTTTAAAGTCCTATTTAAAAAGAAGTTTAAAACAGTGGTTCTCAGCCAGTGAGTCACAGAACTGCTGTTGATCGGTGTGAGGACAACAGAGAGTTGCACGCAGTTTTTAATTTGTGGATGATGCCAGCACCCAAACACTATTTTTAATCACATGAACATTGTTATTTCAACTTATGTTTTTCTAAAATGATATGCAGTTTTCTTTGCCATTTCTTTGTACAGCCACACAATCTCTCGCTTACTCCAAACTGGACTGTGGTCTTCTTCTTGTTTTTATTCCAAACACCAGGAACGCTGCAAAATTACATACCAGCAGCATCACATTTGACTAAAATAACATCTTCTTATGCAACTGATTGTGACTTCTACATCAGACTTTGGTTCTGATGCAAAACCAGTTGGGAACCGCTGGCTTGAACCCCTTTTAGGATAGCAAAGAAAAGCAGCATTGCAGTGAGAGTAAACACACACACACAAAGCAGCTATAACCAAGCAAATGCAGAGTCACTGGTGAGATAAATGTGGTCAAACGATGTTGAACTGGCACACGGATGGCTTCTCGTCGTGGCAGTTCTCGTCAAACCACTTCCCCTGGGAGGCTGCAGACAGCACAGCGCAGTTCTGGGACATGCTCCCGTCTGGCTGGGGGGACCTAAAGTTGGACGTGTCCCAGTTTTTGTAGGTGATGCTGCTGCTGGTCTGATCGATCCAGGTGCCCTCGGTTACCATATCGTTGATGCCCAGCCACGCCTGCTCATCTGGGCCGATGCTTTGGCGGATGTAGTCTCTGAGCTTATCGTTCTCATCCTTGGATGTAGGTGTGCCAAGGACACCGCCCAGGGCGTTGCAGTCTTCGCTGGCGGTGTGATAACGTTTCCTCACAGGGTCACTCAAGAAACACTTGCCATTGATCTTTTTGCCTTTTAAACAGACTGCAGAGGGGAGAAAAAAGGAACTGATGGTTAAATAAGAACAGTAAAATGCTTTTTTTTTTTTTTTTAAATGTTTTCTTGTTTTTGTGAGGACTTTTTTTTGATAATGATATGCAGGAAAAATGTAGCTTTGTTATTATGGCGAACACAACTTTAAAAAAAGAATGTATGTGTTTGTTTTCCAGAAACAATATGATTTTCTGTTCAGAACAGCGGGGCAAACGTGTTTTCCAGATTAAAATATGGCATTTTAAAGACTCCACATGTATCTAATCTGCACTTATGTTTAACTGAAGCATGCTTCAGGATATTGGATCCAACTTAAATACATATTTTGTTCTCTCAACTGTAATCCATATCAGACAGAAGTGAGACTAAGAAGTGCGTCTGTCTCCACTCTGCTGGTGTGATATTAAAGGCATATTCACCTTCAATCACCAGTGACTAGGATCAGCCCAAGCACGGTTTATGAAGGAGGACACGTCAACAAGTGTTATATAGATAAACGGGCTAAAATGGATAAAATAAGTTGATGTTGCATGAATAACTGTGAGAAATTGTGTTGAATAATCTAAATGGGTAGAGTGAGTGAAAGTGTGTACTGCAAATTCTTACTCTGACTTGACTGAAAACATATAAGATGCATGCACACTAAAAAAATCAAACAATGATTAAAAACAAGAATTCTGATATTTTGTGTCTTATTAATAATATTATGTGACAGCTAGTTTATAGTGCATGCATATTTTTTTAATAAAATATCAAATGTCTTAAGGTAGATTTAACAACTGGCCTCAAAGCAAGGTAAGCAAGGACTGTTATACACTGTTAACTTGCATACACTCGTACACTTAAGGGTTTTATCACATGACGGTGCAGGTAGTGCCTTCTCTTGATGACTGTTTTAACTATGAACTGTTTTAAACACCAGGTTTACCTCTTTGCAGAGCCTGCTGCTCCTTCAGTAGGTTGAGCTCCTGGACGATGTCATCGATCTGTTTCTGTAATTGCACAATAGCAGCATCCTTTGTTGTATCTGATTCCAGACATACAAGAAACTTTTTTTAGAAAAGGTTAATTGTGCAAACTCAGTGATCAAACAGCTTTAGAGTGTTTTAAGTAAGAGGAGACTCTTAAGACTCTCTACCTTTTTTCATGGGCTTCTTCTTTGTTGGAATCTGCTGAAGCGAGGAGCTTACGAGCAGCAGCACTCCTAGGAGCACACACACTCCTTTGAACTCCATGGTTAGACCTGTCGAATGAGGCTGAATCAACGTGGACGCTTGCAATTTATCCATCTCCCTCCCTCTCTCTTTCTATTTGTCCCTCTCACACACTCCCTCTCATCCCCCAGAAGATGGAAAAATTATGTAGTCTGAAAGTGCTGTTTGTAGAAATAACAGTCCAACCTCAGAAGCCTTTAAGGATGGCGTGTGTGCGTTTCTTTTGGCTCCAGACTCTTCACGTGGAGGTTGAGAGCTAACGAGAGCCAGGCCTGGAAAGCAGGTGTAGACCTGCAGACTGAGGCCAGACAGTGTGAAGCAGCTATTACATAAGCCCTCTGCAGCTTTCATGAAGGTGTATAAAAAAGACAAAGAGCGACTCTTCTGTTGCATAAAACCCTGCATAACTCAGCTGTAGTTTTACTGGCTCAAATTATTATAGTTTCATCCACAGCATATGGCTAAAATTTGACCTGTAAGTTTTATTACTGCAGGTGTTTTTGACAGCAGTGAAGGTGCATTATGATCCTTTAGTAGATGAGATGCAGGATATTTTCTTTTTTTTAAGTTTCAAACTTCACACTGAAAGACTTAGGCAATGGCTCAAACTTTGCCCAAATGTCAGACGGATCCAAAGCAAGAGCTTGTTTTGGATCAGTCTGTTGCACGCCTGTGCACACACCCTCACCCTGTCTGAGGACAAAGTGGAAATCATCCAGAGTCACATCTGGTCCTTCTGTAAGATTCCACTACACTTATTCCTCAGCTGACACGTGGCAAACACAAAAGGATGCAGAAAGACTGGACAGTTCCAGTGCAGGTCTGCTGAGAGAGGGCAGTGCAGATTTCAAGAATGGAAAGTTTTGCATTTGTGGAGAGTTAAAAAACAACAACCCATTCACTGATGCGGAGCAAATTTTAAAGATAAATGAACACAAACACTAAGTATTGTTCAAGGTTCATATTAGGCCATTTTTCCAACCATTTGCATCATAGTAAGTATTTTAAATAATCTGCACTTCATCTTCTTCGTGACTTTGTAACAGCTTGAAATCAGACTAAAACTAAAACAGACAAACAATTAGCCCATAGAAAATATTTTGATAATCAATTAATTATTTTAAGCAAAATGCCAAAAATTCAGTCTTTATTGACAGCAACTTGAATATATTTGGTTTTGGGCAAAAGAATACTGATGGCCACAAGTGCTTCCCCTGAGCCTCCTACTATATGCACGTTTAGTATAAATGTGAAATAATAATAATAATAATCCTTCACTAGCTTCAGCTTTCAACCAGACATATCTTCTACAAAGCTTCATCTGTTGTGATTCAGACGCCACATAAAACAATTCCTCTGTCAATCTGTGTGCAAACAAAACAACAACAAAAACGTATCTGAAAAAACAAATATACGCAGAGTACAAATAAACACTTTATTAGAAAATTATGTATACATGTAAACACAAACTTGGAAACAGGAGCGGATTTTTAGCCCAAAAAACCAACTTTCTGTCTCTTTTTTCCGAGACTCTCTTCCTGTTCCAGCAGCTTCATGAGAGGAGCGTGGAGGGCTTTCCCAACTCTTTTGCCCGCCTGCAGAAAACAAGCAAACAAAGAAAGAAAGAAGGGAAATAAACAATCCACCCATTTTTCTGCCACTTATCCAGGTTTGGGCACGGGGCAGCAGTGTAAGCAAAGATGACACTTGGCTCTGCCTAGAAATTCTGTCTATAAAAGTAGTGAACTACTTTAGTTAGGTGGGTGAGCAGGTGCCCATTGACTTGTGGTTGAAATGCAGCAGCCCAGGTTCAAGTTCAACCTGCAGCTCCAACTCCACGTGAGAATATAAAGGATTCCTTTTAACTGAAGGTCAAATGTTGCAGCTTTAAAATGTAAATAAGGTTAAAAGCACAATTTGTTAATTCTTCAGCTGTGCTGAGAGGAGGCCAGATGGCTGAGGAGCGAAGCTGGGCTCACCTCTGTCATTTCAAAGATGCTCTCTGGGTCCAGACTGCCTCCGCCCACCTTCCTCATACAGGTGATGGTGCCCTTGTGCGTGACGGAGATTATGAGGCTTGCCACAGAGCAGGCCTTCTCCTGCAGTGTTGCATCCACCACATGTCTGTGTCCCACCTGCAGAAACACAGTGAGCCGCATGTAGCACTATGGTGTGGTGACAGTCATCACCTCTGAGCATCAGCAAGTGAGCTCACCTTGCACAAAGTCACTATACAGGGAACGTTTTCTATGTTGAGTCTCATACAGTCGTAGGGGTCGTCAGACAGCTCAATTTCTTTTCCTCCTTCTTCATCGGATGATATGTGAACTTTGGGAATTCTGTCGGTGGAGTAATCAAGACTTTTAGTAAGATTTCATTTGTGCAATATTAAATAAACTGTAAGATGCCAAAAAATCTCAAACGGAGACTCACTTTGTGTTGAAGAGAGCTGCCTTGATAGCTACTGATATGGCATCGTACAAGTTTCCATCACACTGCAGGAGCTGTGGAAGCATAAAAACATGAGATTTGACCCAAGTTGTTTGGATTTATTTGGAAATGTTCAAGCAAATCTTAACACCTCTACACTGCTAACAACTCTTACTATACAAACAGGAAGAAAAAGGTAAATGCAGGAAAACAGCCTTGTCATTTTGAGGATAAAAGCAGAAGCACAGCCCATAAGAATCACATCTAGGGCTGTGATGGAATAATTGTAATTATTTATTAGTTTTTGTGCTAAAATATGTCAGAAAATTGTGAAAATGACTGGTGTAGTAAGTTCTCAAAGTCAAATTATTGTCCAAAAATAACTTGTTCTGTCTAAAAACAATAAATTTATTATTGCAGAAAACAACTGTGGAGCAGCAGAGGAGAGGATTTTGGCTGGATCACTAGTCAAAATTCAATGACGCTCAAATGGAGGGCAAAAAAAACTGCAGTCATGGAGAAAGGGAGCTGCAGTGTACAGTGCACGTTTTCTTTATTTTTGCACACTAGAAAAAAATAAATATTAAAAAAGAAAAAAAAATTTAGGAAGCAAAAGGCAGCGTTGGACACTACGACTCACCAGCACATCCACATAGAGCACCCAGCAGTGTTCTCCAGCACATATGCAGAGGCTCTTCAGATCGATGCTGCGTTTGTTGTTGAAGACTTTGTAGAGGGTGTTACTCAGCTTCGTGCCCAGCTCCTCACCCCCTCTGCCCTCAAACTCGGGGGTCGCATTGGCCGAACTGAAGAAGAAACAACCCATTGAAGTCGTACAGCAGGAGCTTATCCCAGAGTAAAGCTTGCTAATCTTGCTACCTCTCTTCACACAAACACGTTATGTATGGTCATATGATAATACTTTCTTTAGTGGACTATGGTGGAAATCCAGGGAACAGATAATGCAACACTACCTCCTGGTGGCAGCACATCCATTAAAACACTCACTTAACTTCAAGTGATTTTTTTTTACTTTCAATGTCTTTAAAATCTTTAATTGCTGATGCAAAAATTTTGATTTGAATTCAAGATTTTTCACCTAAACACTGTAAAAAATGACGCGTACCCACGTTTAAACCAACGGGGTGTAACAACTCTTCTGAGCCATAGCCTGGCTTACCTTTCAACTCCCCACAAAACAAAAACAAAAAAAACCCAGTTGTTTTTTTTAAACCACATTCATGAATGGAGAAAAAATACACTCAATTATTCTGGGGTATTTTTTTTGTTTTTATTCTGGGGTATTTCTAGTTCTTTTTATATAACAGCAGCTGTTGCACTTTTACCTATTCTCACACAGCCAAATAAATCTCACAGCAAATAATGAGAATAATGAGAATAATAACTGTAATAATAATAATTAATCAAATCAGAAGTAATCAAAATCAGTACATGTTTTAGCACCAACTCTGCTGCTACACTATACAGTTTGTGCCCGTCAATAATACGTAAAAATAAAAATAAAATAATTCTGTGATTAACACAGAAAGCAAATTTCGATAATCACTGTGAAGATTGTAGAAAATGCTGTGGGACCTTTTCCCCCCTCTGTTAAATCCATAGTGGCACCTCTGGGCTCAAACACACACTTGATTACAGCTCTCACCAGACACATGTGCTTTACCGTGGAATTACCAGCTTCAAGTGGAATAGTGAAATGATATTGTGGATGTTTGTATCCCTATTTTGGCCACAGTTTCAGAATTGTTATACCCCTCATAAACAGAAATATCATTTAGCAGCATACATACCAATCAACAAAGAACTCCAAATAGCCCTCGGCTGGCACTGTTGGCCTTGGTTTTCCAATCTCTGCCTTAACACCCACAAGAACCGCTGTGTGCCCCTGAAAGAGAGACAAACCATGGGGTGATATAAAAAGGTTGGTCTGACAGTGGAACCTGGAAATGAGCTTCAACAGCACTCTGACTTCTGAAAAGCGTACTCATGCCTTCACTTCATCTCAGCTTTACTACTAACAGTTTTCATTCATCTGTCAAGTCATTCAGGTTTTGCTTTGCTGACTGTAGCTGAACTAAAACCCTGTGGGAAGCCTCTTAAGTGACAAGTGAGATCACATATCAGCCATTGTGGCTTCCTTACACTGGCTCCAAGTCAAATTTAGATGTGATTTTAAGAATTAGTTTTTGCGTAAATCGTTTAATGATCATTAAATATCATTAAATTTCAGTCTTTCAGCTGTTCACACATGCTGCCTGATTTAATTACCAGCGTGACTTTGGCGGATCCGTCTGTGTTGGAAACCACATCGGTCTCTATTTCCATGTGTCTGTAGTCCTCGCAGCCTCGTCCATCCACCCTTAAGTCATCCTGAAGACCAGGAAGAAACATGTCAACAGAGACAGTGCTAATGCAGCTAGCTTCCTATCGCTAAAGCTCATAAATACATTTAAAATGATTTTAACAGAATAAACAAAAGTCTGGGGCTGTATTTTTTAACATGTTTGTTAACAACTTACTCGTATGCCGTGTAGTATGTACACTTTTTCAGCCTCACTAACTTGCACTGTTGCCATTTTTCAGAAACACTTTTAGCATGTGTGTGTATGTCTGTCGCTTTACCCCTGCGTCATCAGAAGACGACAATGGGGGAAAAATCCGAAGGGCATGCTGGTTGTTTGAGTTTTCTAATAATCTTTACAGGTAAACGCCCCACCCAACAAACACAAGACAGTGACCTCCTAAAAACAAAGATATTCTACTGATGTTGACACGAAAAGCAACTTAAAGTTTGAACAACCCTTTACAACAATTTTTCTGCACGTGCTTTAACTTATGCCACGTATTTTTGGTAATTTTTTTCTTGTGATTTTTTTCCACGAAATCTGTGAATTTTGTACCCTATGTATTTTACTTGTAAATTTGTTGTTTTATATTATTAATTTTCTATTTCCTATTTTATTAAAGAAATTTGGTATTTTTTTTAATAAAGAGATGAGTGTTTTCTCAACAGCTGCCCATTTTTGCGTGTAAATTTACTTTTTGTGTCATAGACTGACATTTTTTTGTTTTTGTTTGTTGCTTAAAATATTGTAATTTTTTGGGGTTATTTGCCACTTTTTTTTTCCTCTCATTTTTTCCTTGTAACTTTTTTTGGAAATTTTTCTCCCCTAGTACAATCCCTTATTTATTTATTTATTTATTTATTTATTTATTTATTCATTCATTCATTCATTCATTCATTCATTTATCTATTTTCCTTACAGACTTACTCACTTTAACCTTCAGCAGCCCTCACCATCGTAAGGGGGGCGGTAGGATTTTGCAAGGTTTGATCTCACAGCCCGGGTGAAAGTACCACCTAGAAGTCAACGCTCAGGGTTAAGCGGCCCATAACAGACAGGAGAGGGTGTCTGACTTCCTGGTTGGATCTGCATTTTGTTGTCCCGCTGCCCGCAGAGCTTTCTGGATCTGACGGGAGGAACGGCAGTTCGACAGCACCTTGTGTCAGGTCACGTTTAGCTGACTGTTAGTGAGGATAATTAACACTTCTTTGAAAACGAGACAGCAACGAGAGCGGGAGCCGAGTCGCTGGGGCCGTGGAGGGCAACTGTCCGAAGATCGGTGAGGTTAGCTGGGATTGAGCTAACGGACGCAGCGGAGGGGCAGACGGGCGTGTGTGGATAGTTTGGGGTGTCTGAACTCTACAAGCCTCTAAACTACACAAAGAGTTCAAGAAGCGTCCGTCGAGAAAGGCAAGAGAGTGCGAGGTAGGCTGTGAAAACCCAGTTTCACTCTGGAAAATGGTTTTGTAGATTTTAAGTGTTTCCATTTATCAACTACTGGAAAACCAGTCATCCCGCTCTGTTTCAGCTACCAGTTAACTTCCTGGTTTGGTTTATTACTGCACTTTCCAAAAGATGAGTAGTTATGTCCTATACATCATATATGTTACCATATACGACACTCATTATATCTTTGTGGTGGTTAGTTTACCTGAAATACAGCAAACCGTGCTCAAAAGCACTTCAGCCGTATACATGAGCCCAGAACACACGCTTATTTTTTTTTTTCCTCCTTAGTGCCTCTCAGGTTATTCAACATATTTTAGCAGATGTCTGTTTTTTATCCTCGAAATCAAATCGGCCAAAGACGAGCTGGAAGGACCAGTCAGTGAATCTTGTTGTGGATAAACAAGTAATGAAACTGCTGTCTTGCAGTTGCCATAACATTAAATGCAACCATTATTAAAATAGCTTATCTCATTATGAATGGCTTAATAAAATCAATGTCATATGATAAAACAATAAGATACAAAAAAACACAGTTAGATAAGAAATTAATGATATAATATAAGAGTGAAACCAAAGACAGGTGACTGAAATGAAAAAAGGTGATCATCTCCTCAGAGTTGCACTTTGTCGTGGAGTCAGATATATTGGTGAACAATCTGTTCTTGATGATTTATTGGAAGGAGGATTGACTTAAATGTTTGAGATTTTATACTCCTACTGACAACTCGCATTCACCCAGGTTCTTATTCTGTTCCACCTTTAACTCTTTTCGTAGCTCACATCCTCGCCTTTGATGTATTTAGAGTCACCAATTAAACATACATTAGGTATAAATGAGAGCAGCTAAATAAAAATACACAACAACAGAAAGAGCAGGTTAACTCCACACAGAGAGCATCCAGGAAGTCTTGAACCCAGGAGCCTCTTGCTCTGAAGCAGTTGGGTCACACCAGATCCAAAGAGGGCAGGTTTTGAGACTTTTACCTACCAAAAGTGGTCCAAAAACAGGACAACAAGTGATAGGTGCTCAAGCGTAATGAGGGGCTGTGATAGAAAGTTGAAAGAATACAGAGTGCATCCTGATCTGTGGCCACAAACACCTGAGTGTTAGTATAGGACTACAGTGCAAAGGAGAGATGTTTTATTAAACACAAACAGTGTGTGTTAATGAATGTAGATGTGAACATGCCACATATTCAGTTTACAAATGTAATTAAAATTAAATTCTTAAGTGTAAGAAAGTGTTTCTTTAGTGTAAAGAAGTCCATTTTAAAGCGTTCACCTTAGCTGAATTCAATATTTCAAAAAATCTGAAATGATAAGCTAAATTGAAAGGCACCCTTTTACCCCACTCCCTTAAAAATAAGCGTACAACACAGGGTGTCATTTCATGTTAAAAAATCACACGTGAAACAAATAAACAACCTGAGGTGAACTTGAGAAAAACGGGTGTAGTGTTCTACGTCTTTATGTTTAAACCATGTCTAGATCTCGAAATACTTTCAACTCACCATTCGTTTCACACCTGTACAATAAACATGACATCAGTAAAATGATTAACAATTCATTTTTTACTGAAAAAACTGGACAAATTAATGGCTTCTGTGCAATTTTCACTCTTTGTAAAGCCATCTAGTGGGCCAGACTGGACCCTGGACCTGCTTTAGCCAGTAGAGAGTTCGCTCTGTCAGTTTAAAGACCATCAACAGCTACTCCGTGAGCAGTTTGTCGTGTCTAATGTGTCTCTTCTGCCACTCTGCTTCAATACAGGGACAGCAGTATCTATGTGATGATAAATAAAACAATGTGTATCGGTGTCATATTCAGGTCATGTTTGTTTTTGCAGTAATAATCCCTGAAGCATCACATTAGTCTTGAGTGAAACAACCATTTTCAGTTTTTTAAGTGGCCTGATGAGACTATCAGTAAAGTGGAACAACATCAGCATGTTAACTGGCTGTTTATCCCAGCAGGAGGTCCTCGTGCCGCCTGCCCGCTCAGCTGCCTCCTTCACTCGGTGGTGTAATTTATTTTACAGCAGGGTATCAAAAATGCCTGTGAATCGTGGAGTGTTTTAGTGTGCTGCATGCATTTTAAATGAACTTACCTTTACCGTGTTAAACATTTTCACATACTGTATCTACTGTATCTTCCGGATCGTCTTAGACAAGATTTTGTTGTGTAAAGTGTTTCTGTTCCATTCATGTTGGTTTTCCTCTCTATACAAGCAGCTATTCACTGACAGAAATCTATAGACTCATTCTGCAGGAGGAACTATTTGCTTAATTGTTAATGAACTCAGCATCAGTAGTTAGTTTCACTCCAGGGCTTTCTTGCCTATTTCATTGTCTTGAGTTTCTGTCTTTTTTCATCATCTCCATTTTCACTCAACACTGGTTTCATTGCTGTTTCTAGCTGTTGTTTCTAATGAAGGGAGTCGTTTTCAGTGACACACCGGCCATGTGTAAGCTTCCTGCATCCTGAAGCAAGTTTTACTTGAAACTCGACAGGTGGACTTCCTCCACCCGTCGAGCCAAATACACGTCAAGTGAGTCACACGAGTAAACAACACGTGGTTATTACAGGGACACTAGCATGTGTACTCAAAATTCATTTAGTACTCCAATAGAACACTTAAAAACAATCGTTCATCTAACCAGAGTGAAGTTGATGAATTTACAGCTTATTTGCAGCGGGGGAAGTAATCTGAAACTTGAACTTTAAAGCAAACAATTCCCAAAAATGCTTCAGCTTTTTTTGTGTGTGTCGCTTTGGAACAAACTGTGTTGCTACACCTTTGCAGCCACAGTTACAACATACTGTAATACAGGAAGTTAATTATTGAATATAAATTATGAGAAAAAAGCAAGTGGTTGGTCTGGAGTTGTTTCTGGAGAAAGCTAAAGACCCGGAACATTAGGAAATGCCTGAATGGTAGGTTTTAAGTGAACATCGGGCCAGTTTGTCGTGAACGGCACATTTGTGTCAATTCTTGCTGACCTCAAGAGCCCTGGGAATAAATTTGCTAAACATAATTTTTGTAGCATTATAGAAAAAATACAACAAGTGTATTTGGCTACTGAATGAGTCTTTTTAGATTCTGTGATTTCATTTTATTTATTCATTTATTTTTCGGAACAAAGTTGTATTATTTACCAGTTTCAGTGTACACTTTGTGTCTTTTGTCCTGTATTCGTCATTTCACCCCCAGCCAGTTGCAGCAGATGGACACCCCTCCCTGAACCTGGTTCTTCCTGTTACTGGTTTCTTGCTGCTAAAAAGGAGTTTTCCCTTCCACTGTCACCAAGTGCTTTCTTACAAGGGGGTTGTCTGATTGTTGGGGTTTTCTCTGTATTATTGTGGGGTCTTTACCTTAAAATTTAAAGTTGTGATTTGGCACTATATAAATCAAATTGAATAAATTTTCAGTAACACTTGGAACAAAAATTGACTTCTTTTGACTGGTAGTTTACGGTGACAGATTAGTATTATCTGATGACCACGTTGAAATAAATCGCTCAAAAAATTATTTATTCAAATAAAGAGTAAAAATTAGAATAGCCTAAATGAGCGCACAAAACTGTTTTAAATGCTTGGTGCTGCTTAAAAAATGTCACTGCTGATAGATGCTGTGTGACATTCTTGGGAAATGTAGATGTGCTGGGATTCTTTCCTTTATTGTGATCCACAGCTTGACATGGTGGTGAATGTTGGGTACAGAGTTTTGTTTGTCACCATGCCATCTATGCCGTTTGACATCTGTCCAACTTTGGCTTTAGACGGATTGATCCTTCCAGGAAGCTTTTATTTCACTTGCAGTAATGTAATGACTTGTTGTCAACTTGAGT